CTGACAGCTTCCTTCGACTTTTGAGGAGATAGAAAAAAAAATACAGAGAAGTATCTCGCCACATATGCCCACACCCCCGGTAGGAATCGAATGGGATTGGAAACGGTGCATGAATCGCCCCGTAATAGATGACTCGCGGGACCTCACGCCATTCTGACCTCGGCGGAGCGCTTACGATGCAGCGTATTCGAAGCTGCCATTTCGTCGAAGTTTGGAGCGTCAGCGATGAGAGGCGAAAAGGGCTCATCCATCGATGACATCAGGATTCAAGATCAATTATTATCGGATGAGAGGATGGCGGGAGAACGGTGAGGGGACATTCATCCGAACCCGAGTAGTTCCCGAAGTAGCATAATCGGAACGATCTGTCTGATGTCGTGCTAATAAATACGTGGGTCGATTCTATCGATCGAGTCGAAGCCCGCCCCCGAAAAGCAACGCATGAGATCGGCGACCCTCGATTGCGGGCCTCTGACAAAGCCCTTACAAGTGTTCGAAATCCCTCACGATATTATTCGAGCGGGAAATCACCGGTGGCTTACATTCTGTCGCTCGATTGTCCGAGAGCTCGTCGATTTAATCTTACTGTCTTGTTTCAAGTTTTCTTTGAACAACGCGCCACGGATGGAAGTAAGGAGATTCCCACGGAGCGTCGGGAACAATGGGCTGGGACGACGCGCATCTGCCGTTGTCCACGGGACATCTAACGGAACAGGGTCTTTTCCCCCTCATCAGCTTATTTATTTTGATGACGACACTCACCTTGTTCGTGGGTGAACAACGCTTCCTTGGCTTCTGAAATAGTTGCCAGGTGCTCGCGTCCGTCCAGTACCTGGAAACGCAGGTAATATCACTTAGTAGACTCTCGTACACCTCGTCGGATGCAGTGGCCGAGGGCTCGTTCTCGGCTTTCTACTTGAGCGCGGTCGTTCAGCACCTCGTCACAAAAACATGCAGCTTTTCAAGGCCTCCGGCTATAATACAGAGAATGCTGTCGCAACGATTGATGACTCGCAGCGAACGGCAGCCCACTATGGAACAGCTGGTCATCAGAAGCCCAGGAGCCCTGCACCGCTTCTCCGAACCCTCGTCCGCTATTTCCAAAAGCACGGTAAGGTGGAGCTGGAAGCCACATCAGCGGAATCAGGCTTCGCATTGCGAAAGGGATCCCTCGAGAAAGCAACAAATGAGACTGTTCAGTGATCGCGCACGATGAACGACACTCGAACGTACCGTCACTGAGGGTCTGTCGAGAGCAGCAGAGGAAGATTCTGAGCTGAGGAGGGCGCTCGAACGAGTTGAAAGCATCGTTCAAGAGAACAAGGTTCCCCCGGGTTTCCCGAGCCCACAAACCACCCAGGCTCCGGTGGAAGTTGTCAGCTCGAAAGAATTCCCTCTCCGATCTCGATACTCGAATAGGCTCATTGACAAGGAGATTTTTCTCGGTGACCTGCCGCCATCTTCAGCCCCGAGAATTCTCAGAAGGGAACAGGAGGCGTACCGCTGATGTTCGCCGGGATGATGACGCAAGGAGCACGCGACTTGTTCTCATCGTTTTCCGAAATTCCCAGAACATGAGAAGTCGATGAGGGGAAGGAGATCGGGAACTCGATATCAGAAAAGGGGAGACGGCCTTGTTTCGGGCGGCAGGCGTGTCCTTGAGTGAGGGTCGACATTCTTCCCGGCTACCCACTGCCTCGCGTGCAATCCACATTTTATTCGTCTAGCGTGTGTACTTGTTACCGCGTGCCAGCCGAAATCTCTCGCTATCTACTCTTCCACACGTGGTATTTTTCCGAATTCCTCGTCTCAACCACGCGTGCGCTTGAGCCATTCATCGGTGACTCCCTAGGATTCTGGTGCTTCATTCCCGACACGGGATTGGAGTGTGAATCATTTTTCTATAGCAGGTCTCGCGAACGGGGAGAAGATGCACGGGAGGAAAAAGGAATTGGTTGACCCGGATCGAGGATGGAGCTCATGCGCGTCAGCCGGTGACAGAGAGCGAAGGGAGCCAGCTCAGATGGCGCTTAGCCAGCCCGACGCGATAAGCCAGTCTGGCAACCAACGCCGCAGCTGAAACTGAGCGACGAAAGCGAGCACAACAACGTCATCGGTAATGATGTCGACGATGGCGCTTCCAATCAGCCAAAGGCGTTATCATTGACAGCGTCTGCTCCTTTATCCTCGCCTCGAGAGAACAACCCGCAGAGCAGCAAAAGTGCACATGTATTTTCAGGTGAGTTCTCCGAGGTTTCAGGGTTTGGCAAGACCTTCCAGGGCGCCCCCGGCCCTATTCCTGGAGTTTCTCCCCAACAGGCGCCGAACGTTGGCACTGAACGAAATCGCGACGCTTCCGTGGGACAGAGAGACGGAGGAGGAATCTCGGAGTCCCCAATGATGGAAATGGCGCCCTCGGATCTTTAGAACCGAGACATTCACGCTGGCGCCGCTCACTCAGACCCCAGACGACGGCCACGTCCGTCAGCGAGAGAAGTGGGGCAGCAACCGTGAGGCAGTGGGGCGGACAAGGGAAGAGAAAATCTTATCATCATATAACCGCGGCGAATGGTTGTCTGTGCCGTCCGTCATCGCTGATGCCGCCGTTGATGCTGTTCCTGGTGGCGGCGGTGGTGGTGGTGCGCGAGTATTACTCGCATGATTAATGTGCGAGTGTCCATTCATCTCCGCTAACAACGTAGACGGGCAACCGCCTCTTTTCCGCATCCCCTTTGCTAACTTTCCGAAACCACATCCTAGCAGGCTCACCCCGCGATTTTTTTCTGCTCTCATTTCGGCAGACACAGCGAGACCCGCAATGAAAAGTTGTGAATCAAACACAAACCCGGCGTGCCGGTCGAGTGCCCCGCGCGTCTGGCGCCCAGAGCGCAGCGCGAACATTTGCCACGGAACTAGTGGAGCGGAGCGGCTGTAGCTGGAAGTTAGGGCCCGAATCCCACCATGGGTCGATATCCTCGGTGGGAAAGACGGGATCGAGACGCTTTCCGAGATCCTCGAAATTTTGCTCATCCAGGCATTGACTCATCGGGACTCATTTTTGGAATATAATGACCCCCGACGATTCTTGGGGATACAGGTATCCATAACCTAGGTCACAGTATCCACAAGGAGCGGCCGCAAAGGTTTTCCGCGAGGAGTCACTTGAGGGGAGTCCTCGGGAGAAGTCCCTGTCGTGAGATCTCTTCGGGAAGCATCGCGAGGTGTCTCCATTCTCCATGGGAAGTTCCCTCGCTAGTCCCCGCATGAAGGAGATGATTCGTGGCGAAGAATCTCGAGAGACAACATCTCCAAGCCATAATTCTTCCAGGAGTCAAGCTAATTTATATAATGGCATTAAACTGCTCACAATGAATTGTCGGCATCCGGGGATCGGATACCGCGCGTCGGGAACATTTCGCGGATACGACCATGACTGAAACCTCAGCCAAGTGAGATTTTCCTCGGAACATCGAGATCATCTCCGCCATGTTAATTATGACACTTGTGTTACAGTCTCAGTATTCGAGTGAGGTTCATGCTCGATTCAGAGCGGAACGGGCGCTTCAAGCGATCAGAGAGGTTCCTGTACGAGGAGTTCATATCCGATATTCCGTTTACCGCCAAAGCCTGTCGTCGAGGACACAAGTTCTTTCGTAGATTCGACTCGTCGTCATTCGTTTAGTCGCGGTCGTCATAATTATTGTTGTCTCTGTCATTATCGTGGCCCTTGTCGTGCGCGGCGCCGGTGCTGTTGGTGTTATCGGAACAAAACTGCTCACACTATTTGCTTTTGCTGTGGATAATGGTAGCCATGTGCGGAGGGGTTGCGACCAAGGCGCGCTCGTTCCTCCGCCTTGCACATTCACAAACACAAGTCGCACGCGGCCGGCAGCCCGACCCCATGTCTGGTTCACTGTTGCGGCTTCTTACTCTCTCACTCAGCTCTTCTGTCCGTCTGTCTTGCTGCCGGTCTGTCGGTCCGACAGCGCGAGTGTCAGGCATCCTGCTGCTTGTAGGTCTCGCAGTCCGTCCATCCGTCCGTTTGTCGCTTCGCCGGTGCCGCGGTTCGTTGTCGGTGACGGCGACGGGGCGAGTAGTCCGACTGCTTGTTCGGGTAGACGAGCAGCAAATTGAGTTTCTGTACGGCCAGGGTTCGCTCATTCGTTTCCTTGCAGCGACCGCCGAGACAAGCAACGAGCAAGCCAGTCAGTTTGACTCGCTGGCGTAACCTCTCCTTCATTCTCTTCGTTGGCGTCCTTCCTCTGCTTTTATCTCGCCAGCGGATACTCCAGTAGAATTTCTTTCCTCGTTCTTCTCCCTCGACGATGACCGTGGGAGGAAAATCCTATTCGCTCCTGCTTTGGTAGACGGCGACGGCAGCCAGTACCTTACGCTTCCAATGGAAGACAGAGGGCTACCGGCGCGCCGCCGTCTTCGGTCGAGCAGAGGAGGGCAGCACCTAAGCAGCTTCGTCGGCAGCAGCCACCACCGACTATGACTCCCTCCCTCTTCATAGCTATTGTCATTTTCTCACGTCTTGGCGAAGCTCTCCGACTTTTTAACAGCTCATATATCTGAGGGTCCCTATCGACGTTTTGGAACGTTCCACGGAACTTTTGCGATGATCGAGAGCGTAATGAGTTCCGAGACTGTCTCCGTGTATTCATTGGTTTCCAGACCCTCGCAGTACCTTCATTCTCGAGAAGACGCACTTGAGATCAGATGAGCTTCCGGTATCGATCGAGAGAGCACGCCGGCGGAACGTCCACCAGCTTCATAGGAGGTAGCCAGTCATTCGGGGCATTCGAGCCTAGCCGTTCGTCAGACGCTGCTTTTCGCCTTCCTATCCGGGTACGGACGCGAGGACTTTCAATTCAAAGCGCACGTTCTCAAACGAGAAGGATAGAGGGCCTCGTGTCCGCAAGGTATTCTAATCCCGGTGAGAGTATGCTCCGGCTTGCTCCCGTTCATATGTACATACTCTTTCGGACATGGGTGAAGGATTCGACGATGCGTTCGATGTCAACGAGATATCTCACTATTAGGCTTGACAACGACCCTGCATAAGTATCTTGTTGAGCTGACCACAGTCTGACTTCCGATGGAAGATAATGAGTTTGACTTTTCGGAGGATCATCCGTCATTATTCATGAGGATTGATCAGTCTGTCGACTATGTCGGAGGGGAGCTTGAGCCTGGATTCGACCTCTCGAAGGGGATGGGGCGGGGGGGGGGAAACCGACCGCGGGCGAGACGATTGGCCACATTGCCCGTCTTTCGAAGTCCCCGGGGGAAAACGTTCTCTTTGATTTGCCCCGACGAGGTCGGCCATTGAGATGGGAAAACTGAGCCTGGAAACTTTTTCCACGACTTCGACTCTAGTTTCCAGTCCTCCAGCCGGTCAGCGCGGGCTGCCCCGATCCCCCCATATCGAGCGATAGCGGAATGAGAGCTCTTCAGAAAGCTCCGGCTTCGTCTCGAGTCTCGAGCCGAGTGTTCATTCGTCTACCATTCCCTTCGAAATTAGGTCCCGTATGGCTGAATAGCGCGGTGGAAAATCGGAGAATTCGATGAGAGGAGCAATCGTTCAAGAGGGGAGAGCTTTGAGTGCGAGCGATCGGAAATTGCTGGATTCCCGTTTACGGCTCCCTGAATGTTCCCGACGTCAATTCGGAATCCTGTTGACGCTGATAGTCAGTCTCCCGAGCCGTCACAAGAGTTCGTTAAACTAATCACTTCCTGAGTGAGTGAGGCGACCATTCAAGCAGCTTCTATTTAACGTCGTTGTCGAGCAAGCATCTTCGTGAAAAAGCCCCGCCGTAGGGGAATTCG